TAAAACCGAAAGAGTCTCTTAGGTATGAAGGTTATGAGAAGTTGGGGATAAATTGTGACGAGTTTTAAAATGTATTGCTTGTGCGTGTACTGCAACTGTCTCTTATACACATCTAGATGTGTATAAGAGACAGGTAGTGAGCATGGTGGAAATGGCGGGAAAAGGGATGAGCGTGCGCGGGAAGAAGGAGGGGATTGCAATGGTAAAGATGGGGAAAGGGGATAGGAGGAGGGGGAGGAGGAGGGGAAGGGGGGGGAGGAGGGGAAGGGGGGGGAGGAGGAGGGGAGGGGGGGCAGTTGTCGCTGACCTTCCGTTTACCATAACTAACTGAACGGAGCGCTTTTTAAGGACGGCTGAGGGTCGAGACAATGTGAAGGCATCCGAGCATGTCGAGGCAAGTACGCTTGAAATCACACCAGCAACAAGAAACGGCGAGAAGAAGGACACACACCAGCAACAGGAAACGACGAGAAGAAGGACGGTTCAACTTGTGCCGCAACTCTTCATGAAGCTTTATGATGCAGGGGTGAAAGAGAGAGACGATGGGAGAAGCGTAGAGACGGAGGACGGAGGGAAGTGTCATGACCGGTGGAAGAAGAGGTAAGTAATCTACGTCCTCGCGAATTTGTCCGTTGCTAGGAAGACACGGAAGCAGTTCGGATTTCAAAAGCTGTCACGGCTCACGAACTCCATGGATTACGTTCACGCCTCCAGGTGACGGAGAAGAAGATCATCCGTATCGGGCAAACGAGCTCGCCCTTTCTCGCTCCTAAGCTCCTGTTATTGCAACGGATTGAACAAGATCGTCTGTGGTTTCCCCCCAGTCAGTGCATCCACTGGATGTTATCTATTCTCATCTGCAGACTGCAGTCCAGAAAACTGTCGACGCAGGGCGATGGCCTTTAGAGAGAACTTTGGGGAGTTTGCTGCTCAGAGGCCAACTGGCATGATCAACTGGCTTGTGTGTACCATAACAGATTTTTTATAACTACGGACCATTGAGTACCGTATGCTCTGGTTTGGCGACAGCCTTCGGGACTGTTTTGCAACAGGCACTGTGCCAGGCCTCAGGGGGTTCCATAATCCCAGGAAGTACCTGAAAGCCAAACATTTGTCATCCAGCCAGACATGTTGATCCCAGAGCTTTTGTGGTGGTGGTTTTTTTTTTTTTTTTTTTTTTTTTTTTTTTTTTTTTTTTTTTTTTTTTTTTTTTTTTTTTTTTTTTTTTTTTTTTTTTTTTTTTTTTTT